TAAAATACAAGTACTATCAAATAAATCTCTAATTATGGAAGAAGAAAATCAATGAATGAGTTGTTGTAAAAATTAAAATAAGTTATACAAATAAAGTTGCTGTAGGAGTTTCAGAGAGGAACAGGGAATAAATAAAACATCAGTATTGTAGAAGGAATGGGTGGAGAAAGATCTTGGTATAATGACATTCTTCTTGGCCTTTTGGCTAAGATCAAGTGTAGTGTGTAGTTCTGTCAAATTTCAATTTAATACTACCTCCTATCCTTAATATAAGAGTTAATTGATTAATTTGAGTAGATTAAAGAAAATGGTTAAGTTAGTTATTTGTAATAAATATGTATTCTCTTTCTTAAATATCCTTACTAATCAAGTGTATTGACTAGATTTACTATTATTATAAAGACTATTTTTATATAATATGAAAAGCAAAATAGATTAGTATTTTATATTTAAGAATAAAATAAAAATTAAAAAAAAATTATATTAAAGACTGGAGGTAGTTAGAAAAAGGAATGATTTTCTATTTGTTTAAGAAATTCACCAACTGGAGATGTTGTATAGCATATAGAGTGAAATAGATAAGCATCAATCTTCAAAGAGAGTGTGATAGTACAAGTCAATCTTCAAACTCCAGCTTTTTGAGGATAAGCTTGCATTGAGTTTATTATTATTAATCAGGATTCAATAAAGATATATTCATTGAAAACTATTTCCACCAAGAATCCAAATGTTTACTTAAGCATAATGCCCATTACAATTACTGCTCCCTCCCGTAGAAATAAATATGAAAGATAAAATAGACCTGGATCTTATATTTAAGACTAAAATAAAAGTCAAATAATTTCTTATATTAAGGGTAGGAGGTAGTATTCTTCTGGTCCTAAATATAAAACCCATTTTGTAGTATAAATTATACTACAAAATAGATTTTATATTTAGAACCGGAGGAGTATAATATTATATCTGGCAATCATTAATAATTTTTCATTTAAAATTCAACCAAGGCACAAGACGACGTTGAGCGAATATTACGCAAAACTGACACTTGGTAATGGACATAGTTTTCTGGTGCACTTTGTTAGTATGATCGAACAACCAAGAAAAGGATGAATTGAGTATTATAAAAATTTTACAACTGATAAAATAATCAAACCTAATTAATATAAGCAGGATAAAGCAGAGAAGATATTACCTATCACTTGAGGAAATAATAGGAAAAAAATATACATAATAATTTATACTAGTTCAATCTAACCTGACATATGTCCAGTCTCCAAGTTTCACCTAAGAGCACTAATACGTTGAGGTTACAAGCTAGTTAAGTGAGATCAAACCCATCACTTTTTACTTATAAAAGAGCTAATACTAAGTCACAAGGCTATTAAGTTTGGTTGACGTTCATTTCAAACAAAAACAAAACCAAATCGAATCAATCCATCTCCGGAAATTACATCGCTATCCAATTTCAACTAATTTTCTTCATATGAAATGTGGTTTTCTTTCTATAAGTAGAAAAAAATATTGTTGCGAACTGAAAATTCTTGTTCTTGCCATAATATTCAAATCATTATAAAAAATAATCTTAGATTGAAAACATAAATCTTACCCTCAAAAATCAAATACTCTTTTAATTCTCAATTAAGACCTACTTAACTAATTTAATTAGATTAATTTTTTTTCTTAATTTACAACTTGCTAAACATTAACTTGCAATTCATCTTCTACAACTTTTTATAATGAAAAATCAAAATTTCTCTTGTCAAAAATTTCTACAACTTTCCATATTTTAATACTAATTTTTCTTATTTGCAATTTGCAAAGCTAATACTTCAAACACTACTTATTCTTCCTTTTTTTTCTTTAATGAAAAAAAAATGATAACTTAACATATCAAATTAGAAAAATCCCCCAAAAAAATGATTGTTGAATTTTAAAATTTTAAATCAGTATTAGTTACTACAATTGTAAAGAAAATGACTACACTCGAAAAAATAAATAAGAACACATTTTTGTAGTAATTTCGGATTTGAAATTTTAAAATTCAATAGTCTTTTTTTTTTAATTTTTCCTGTCAAATTTTGTCACATTTAGTAATTTAATACCAATTTTCCATGATTTACAATTTTCCGGCTGTTAATTTGTAACTCATATTCCTTCTATTATACCAAAAAAAAAACTAAAAGGGAAAAATAAAGTGAATCAAAATCATATATCTAAGAGTGAAGAGCATAATTTTGTAATATGATGAATATATATACACTACTTCTTGTCCTTAATATAAAAACTAGACAACTAATTTATAGATATTAAAAAAATAATTAAATTAGTTATTTATAACACGTGGATATTATTTTTTTTATAAAATATCTTTATTAATTACGTGTATTAAAACTATCTCTCAATAGAGAGTCCCTATCATGTGTAATCATCATAAGTAAAATGGATAAATGTTACAGACAAAATGAACTAATGTTTCATATCTAAAATTAAATTGAATTTTTAACTAACTCTTATCTTAAATAAGAGATGGCCTTAGATTTTTGGCACCCGTGAAATGATGTTGACGAAGTTGATGATATTACGGTAGTGGAAACGATAATGATAAGATGGACATGGAGGTATTGGCATGGCCCACAGTAACGACTCCACTCCAGTAGTGATAAGGGGAGAATATCTCATATCGATGGTAGACGGTAGTGCACTAGTGGCAGGGGGCGTATAGTGCCGGTGGCATTTATTATCTTAAAGGGATGTTTGGATATAACCAAACCACAGTTTGGAGAATAGCTTTTGGAGAATAGATTCTGGAGAGAATAGATTTTTTGAAGAATAGATTTTGTGAAAAAGTGATTCTGAGAAGTGAGAGTGTTTGAATAGTTGTTACCAGAAGCACTTTTTACATGTACAAATTACTAAAAAAGGCATAAGTTAATATGATAATTACAGAAAAAATATATTTTATGATATATTTTAATTTGAAGGAATAAAATTGTTAATAATATATTTTTTATTAACATAATTAATAATACATAGGATAATATAATTAATAAATAATTAATATGTACATATATTTATAAGATATAAGATTAAATATATTTATAAAAAAATATGTTTATAAAAAAAACAACAAGATACATATCCTATAGGCTCTCACACTCTCCCTTTTTTTTTCCAAAAGCAAAAAATTTTTGCTTTTTCCAAAACCAAAACCATGGTTTTGGTTTTTTTAAGGGTGTTTAGGTGGTTTGGGTCCCCAAACCATGGTTTGGGTTATCACCCAAACACCCCCTAAGTCATTGGGATAAAGGGTTTAGGAATTCCCACTTCAAATCCAATGGGATTCAGGAAGTGTTTGGATAAAACCAAACCATGGTTTGGAGAATAGATTTTGTAAAGAATAGATTTTATGAAAAAGTGATTCTGAGAAGTGAGAGTGTTTGGATAGTTATTATCAGAAGTACTTTTTATATGTGCAAATTATTAAAAAGGGCATAAGTTAATATGATAATTACATAAAATATAGATTTTATAATATATTTTAATTTGAAGGAACAAAATTGTTAATAATATATTTTTTTACCAACATAATTAATAGTATATAAGAAAACATAATTAATAAATAATTAACATGTGTATATATATTTATAAAATATAAGATTAAAAATGTTTCTGGAAAAAATAAATATTTTTTACCAACAGAAAAATATTATTTTATTTTAAAGATTATAAATATGAAATATCATGATATTTTTTGACAAAATAAATAAGCACACATTAAAACAATTTATTACTTATTATAGTAATTATCTTTTCTGCTTTATGATTCTTTCAGGCTCACTCTCTTGCTGCGTCAGGACCAAATGACCGTAGACCATTTCTCCACGCCAGCAACGCAAGCGAGTCAAGGGGTATTTTTTGTCCAAATAATTTCTGACAACCCAACAGCGAAAACTTCAGCACCAGAAGCAAGATAATTTTGCTTTCCACAGAACCAGGGTTTTAGAGGTTAAAACCATGGTTTCATCTGAAACCATAGTTTCAAAATATTGAAGGTTGTTTGGATAGCATTTTATCCAAACCATGGTTTTGGATGTCATCCAAACATACTGCACTACTCTCTCATCCGTTGCCCGCCTGCTGCCCACAAAACGACACCGTGCTCAATGAAGAGAGAGAGAGAGTGCGAACGGATGAAATGAGCAGAGGAGGAGCACCAAGATAAGGCTAATATTACCTCTTCCGTATTTATAAGAATTAGTTGACTAATTTAAAGAGATTAAAAAATTAAGTTAGTTATTTATAATAAATAAGTATTATCTTTTCTAAAATATTCTTACTAATTAAGTGTATTGACTAGAACTATTATTATTAGAAAGACTATCTTGAGAAAAAATATATAAATATGAGAGGCAAAGTGAATTGGAATCTTATATTTAAGATTAAAATAAAAGTCAAACGATGTCTTATATTAAAGACAGGAGGTAGTAAGTAATTTATTAATAAAATAATATCAGTTTAGGTTTAAGTTTTTATAAAATCAGGAAAAAATTTAAAAATAATTAAATGAGTAAAAACTTGGTTTAGGTAGCATCGAACATAAATTATTTTTTTAATAAGACTCAATATCTCAAAATATTTTTCAATAAGTTCAACAACCTAAAATATTTTTTTAATAGCACCTAATATTTTAAAGGGAAAATGACAAGAAAATGACTGTTGAATTCTAAAATGACAAAATGGGCATGTAAATTACTGAAATGACAAAATGGGTATGGGGTATCAATCTGGAATTTGAGTAATTCGCCAAAAAGACTGAAATGCCCTTAATTTTTTCGGGAATCAGAGGGCGGGATATTGTGCAACGGAACTGGAGTTTGGTTGGCGGTTCTCCACTCGGCGAAACTGCATAGACCATAGGGTTCTCCGAACTCTCACATTACACTCGGCGAAACTGCATATGGTTGTCGCAAGTCTCACATTGGCATGGTTGAGGAACTGTGAACGAGGAATGTGAATAGCGTCCGGCTTCTTCGTCTTTTCCGTGGGTCGTAGTGAGAAGCAATAAACCAGTGAGAAGCTTCAATCTTCAGAAGGGAGAGGGGGTGGCTAGAGAGAGAGATTTCGAGGGAGAGCACCTGTAAGGTCGTCACCGGTTGAGGAAGAAGTCGATATTCGTTCGGACCCCGGTAAGCCACCCAAATGTCTCCGTCTTGTGCTTGTCTGATTGGAGTGTTTTAATTTGGGGAAAACGGTGAATGTTGGTTGTAAAGGGGGAAGCAATGGTAAAGGCTTAAAATGGAATGTAAAGGTAGATTAGATTAAAAGTCGGTGCTTCTATGTGTGACGGAATTACAGAAGTTGCTTGCTTGCTCTGATTCATATAACTCGGTCCATGTTTGACGAGATATCTCTCTGATTGTTGTTGTCTGATTGCTGTGTTGCTGTAATGTTGGAAGGCATAATATACGTGTGTGTTTATGATTGCTACACTACTTTTTAGATGCCCATAAATTGAGACCACTGTCGCACATGAGGCAGGATGCTTCCTGTTTCCGCCCCCTTGTTTGGTCTGTTCGTGTAATGGGCATTGCACATTTTTAGCATTGTGTATGGGACTAAAATGAGTTCAACTGTATCCCCATATTGGTTATGCAAATTTAACATTGTAAAATAAATTGAAAGGGGTGACTTTTCGTGGGTAGAACTCTGTTTTGAAGATATAGCTACCTAATGGGCATAACCTCAGTCATTTAGCGGTGCAATTTACCTGGGGATGAACATGCATATTCATTTCAGTATGTACCAAGTGAGAATAACCTTTGTGGCCTTCTTATGTATTGGTATAATTTACTTGGTCATCTGTGGCACTGTGTAGTAGTAATTTCCATAATATAAGTTACTTGAAGATACAAATTTTGTAACATTTCATCGAGAAAGAATCACTTTTAATGCATATTCATTTATTTTTGAATCTGTTGGTCTGAGGATTGAAGAGGTAGAGATTAATCTGCTGGTTTGAGGATTGAAGAGGTAGAGGTCGCTGAAGTGCTGAGAAGCATCAATCGCATTGCTGTCATGGAGGAGGTTGGCGAAGTAACTGTGACTGCGACAAACGGTAATATGCAGTTGTAATAGGAATTAAGTGGTTGAGTTATATAGGTTTGGTAAGTTAGATTGTTTTTAGTTTGTTGTTAAAGTGTATTATGTCATTAGTCTCTATTTTCTGCTCTGTTCTGTGAAGTGAGAAAGAAGCAATAACATTCATTACGTGATCAGCAAATTTAGTTATATGAGTAGTAAATAGTCGAGGTTCATTTTGTGGCTAAATAACAACACCTATAATGTGAATGACTACACTGGAAATGGTAGTGACAACTTTTTTGAAATGCAAAGAAAGTTGAGCTGTTCAACTGACCAGATTTAGTTATTTATGCTTGTTGTAGAAGGAGGGCCAAGTGAAGAAGTGAAGAATGGCTACATGTTGTTTAGACGAGAATTTCTTAAGGGTGGGGAGAAGTTTAAGAATATGTCTGAACAAGCGAAAAAGGCATCAAAGGCATGGAAGCAGTTGACACCAGAGGAGCAGAAGAAATACAGTGATAGGGTGAAGCAATCAAGAAAGGAAGGGATGAAGAAGAAGAGGAAGAAAAAAGTGGCTTTTAGCACTCGTTGCTCGGTTCGGCAATTTAAGTCATTAGTGGACTTCATAAAAGATGATGAAGATTTGAAAGTGAGGGTACAAAATTTAGGCTTTGGCCATTTACTTGACATTGGATGTGAGAGACTCCCTCGTGACCTCATAGTATGTGTTCTCCGAGCATATGATCCGCCTACCCATCAATTTCTAATAAGAGGGATAATAAAGGAAATAGAAGCAAATGATGTTGCAAACTTGTTGGGTGTACCCCACACAGGGGAGAAGGTAAAAATGGACGTATGTGATGATGATGAGACATACCAAAGGTTGAAGGAGGAATTTGGTAAAGTCCCTTATACGAAGATACTCAATGACATTAAATCTGGGCAGAAGAAAGATGAGTTTGAGTTCCTGTTTATGCTGTACACACTTGGGAGTTTTTTAACTCCTACTTCACAAACAACTGTGAGTGACAAGCTAATAAGAGTCATGTGCTGTACCATGAAGGGATTTCACCAATTTGATTGGGCCACGTACATTGTGAAGCACTTGTGGAAAGAGATGGGAGATTATGTGAAAGTGTACACAAAAGCAAAGAAAGACGAAGATGAAGATGAAGGAAGCTGCAATGTGGGAGGATGCATCTACCTCCTGTTGGTATGTATTTCTGACTTATGCTTCTAAGTTATTGTTTTCTTTATTTGTGGAATTGGCAAGTTAATGATTTACTATTGTAGTTATATTTTGCTGAGCACTTCCCACTATCCAAAACTGTTGAGAGAGGGTCCCTAAATGCCATTCAATTCTGGACTGATGAGAGGATAAGGAAGCTGGAAAAGAAGGAGAGGGAAAGCAAGAGGGGTTTACTGTATAAGGGCAAGGGAGTATGGATAGAAGTGGGAAGGATGAAGGAAAACGCAGAAGTGTGGCTCATTTACACCCGGTATGTGCTTTCATTACTAATTTTCATTCTCATTAGCAAATAATCTCATGAAAAAAGTGTTTACTCATTTTAAATTGTTTGCTGCAGGAGTTACAGAAGTTGCACGGACGATTGATGGCTCAGATCGAATTAAGCACTATGAGGCTTATAAGTGCAATGGAAGATGAGCTAGATAAGGTGCAGATAAGGATAGAGGAAAATAATGTGACCACAGATGATGAGGACCCTATTGACGTCCCAGATGATGATAAGGGAGATGATGATGCATTTGGCGATGAAGACTCCCATGATCATGATGGACATGAGTCTGATGACGAAGGTGATGATAGAGATGAGTTCCACGGGGGAGATGGTCAGGGAGACGATGATGCAACTGGCTCAGATAGGGGTGATGACATTGGTGTTGCAGCAGAAGGTGCAGACAAAGAAATTATGGAGTCTCCCCTGCCTTTGTCCCCCATGGACAAGGGATGTCAACTCCGGAGATCGCAAAGGGAGATGAAATCCGCTATCAATTCTCCATGGATTTTGACAAAGCCAACTAAGAGGCGAAAGAGGCCCATGGATGACAAGGACCGGTTTTATGACATAGTTTCCCGTATGTGTTCAAGCAAGGAGGGTGACATGTATGTACATATCCACTACCCACGTAATCATATTCATTACAATTTTGTGGTAATTGACTATATGCATAATGATATTGACAACATATTTTTAGGCCTTTGGTGAAAATCTCTGATGAAGATATCACTCGGGATCAGCTAAGGACACTTGGCGGAATTGAGAAAATAGGTAACCGGGTAAGTAGAATATTTGTGATGAGGTCATTTAATTGTTTAGTAGATGCTGCATTTTGGGTTCATCAAAACAATAATCTCTTTGCGTACAGCTGATGTCAACTGTGTGCAAGACTCTAATGGCTGATATGGAGAAGGAAGGGCAGGTGAAGCGGCACATTTTTTATGCTGATTTTATGGTAAGCTTGCTGAGATGTTAGTTTTTTGTCGATTGATATTGATAAATGACTAAAATGTTCATGTTTCAGGCAATAATGGCAGCTAACCCAAAGCTGTGGGATGCTACAAAACGGAAGAAACAATTTTTACCTGAAAATGTAGGCTACAACATAGGAGAATGTGATTTGATCTTTGGACCCACACTTGTTGGCGCTCACTGGTTCTGTGTTGTGCTTGAGCCTAGCACAATGAATTTCTATGTGCTGGACTCAATGAAGCCAAATTTAGAGGGTAAGAAGAAGAGCAAGAAGAAGGGTGTAATTATTGATGACATGACGACCGTCGTCACTGAATGTGTAAGGATAATGCAACTCATCTTCTATGATTGACATTTCATTTACCTTTTATTTACAATTGCGTAATGATATTGTGCAGAGGAATAGATTTTATGACATTATTGAGATAGTTAAGCCTAATGCCACTGGGAAGAAGAAAATGAGTGATATCATTTGGGCTCCTGTTCCGCAACAGAACAATCTGTGAGTGGTTTATGTTGTTGATATTATTACGTCTCAAAGTAGCCCAATGTGTTATTTTCATTCTTTTACATCGTTGGTATGTTTTGATGTGCAGGCGAGACTGCGGTGTTCATGTATTAATATGGTTGAGTAAATGGAAGCCCGGTGAGATACTTCACTATACGGATGAACAAGTGGCTGAATTCCGACGAAACCTCATGTGGTGGCTAGTGAATCATGAGCTTAATTCAAGACGTGATGAAGCATTAAGCTTGCTTTCATCAACCCAAGCCACCACACTGACCAAAAGACGCCATCTGTGATAGGAGGAGACATTATGTAGATTAGGCATATAGTATTTGTAAAAGGAGTGTTAGTTTGAAGTCTTAATATTTGAAGTCTTATGTAGTTTGAAGTCTAAGTGGCTGCCAGTTGTTGGCCTAATTGCAATCCTTTTTGGGATAATTTGAGTAAAAGAGTTATGAAATTTACAGCATGCCATGTGACTTCCGTGATGATAATCACAAGTTGATTATTTGTGCCCCAAATTACATCCACTTGGACCCAGGTTAACTACACAAGTAATAGGATTAACAACTTTCGGATTGAGAATTGCAACCTCTGTAATGATAGTTACGACATCGCTGTTGCCATTTGCATGTGAAGTCTTTCAAGCCCAAATCACTTTTTTTGAATCCATTTTCGCTAGAATGACAACATTGGTAATGAAAATTACAACTTTTTTAATGATTGTTACCACCTCGCTATTCCTTTTTGCAACTGCATTTTCGTCCCCACGTATAAATTGTCAGAATTTCACAACCTGGGTAATGAAAATCACAACATTGTTAAGGGAAATTGCAACTATAGTAATGACATTTACCACTATGGTTTCCCCATTTGCATCCCCATGTTTAGGAAATTGTCCCATTTCCGGTTCCTTTAAGTCAATCCCACGCATCAAATTGTTCAGGAAATTTGACTACCCCCGTAATGATAATGACAACATGGGTAATTTTAATTGCAACTTGAGTAACGACATTTACCGGTCTGCTTTTCCCATTTCCGGTTCCCTTAACTGAGACCCACGCATCAAATTGTTCAGGAAATTGTACTACCCCCGTAATGATAATGACAACATGGGTAATGTTAATTGCAACTTGAGTAAGGACATTTACCGGTCTGCTTTTCCCATTTCCGGTTCCCTTAACTGAGACCCACGCATCAAATTGTTCAGGAAATTGTACTACCCCCGTAATGATAATGACAACATGGGTAATTTTAATTGCAACTTGAGTAACGACATTTACCGGTCTGCTTTTCCCATTTGCGGTTCCCTTAACTGAGACCCACGCATCAAATTGTTCAGGAAATTGTACTACCCCCGTAATGATAATGACAACATGGGTAATGTTAATTGCAACTTGAGTAAGGACATTTACCGGTCTGCTTTTCCCATTTCCGGTTCCCTTAACTGAGACCCACGCATCAAATTGTTCAGGAAATTGTACTACCCCCGTAATGATAATGACAACATGGGTAATGTTAATTGCAACTTGAGTAATGACATTTACCGGTCTGCTTTTCCCATTTCCGGTTCCCTTAACTGAGACCCACGCATCAAATTGTTCAGGAAATTGTACTACCCCCGTAATGATAATGACAACATGGGTAATGTTAATTGCAACTTGAGTAATGACATTTACCGATCTGCTTTTCCCATTTCCGGTTCCCTTAACTGAGACCCACGCATCAAATTGTTCAGGAAATTGTACTACCCCCGTAATGATAATGACAACATGGGTAATGTTAATTGCAACTTGAGTAAGGACATTTACCGGTCTGCTTTTCCCATTTCCGGTTCCCTTAACTGAGACCCACGCATCAAATTGTTCAGGAAATTGTACTACCCCCGTAATGATAATGACAACATGGGTAATTTTAATTGCAACTTGAGTAACGACATTTACCGGTCTGCTTTTCCCATTTGCGGTTCCCTTAACTGAGACCCACGCATCAAATTGTTCAGGAAATTGTACTACCCCCGTAATGATAATGACAACATGGGTAATGTTAATTGCAACTTGAGTAAGGACATTTACCGGTCTGCTTTTCCCATTTCCGGTTCCCTTAACTGAGACCCACGCATCAAATTGTTCAGGAAATTGTACTACCCCCGTAATGATAATGACAACATGGGTAATGTTAATTGCAACTTGAGTAATGACATTTACCGGTCTGCTTTTCCCATTTGCGGTTCCCTTAACTGAGACCCACGCATCAAATTGTTCAGGAAATTGTACTACCCCCGTAATGATAATGACAACATGGGTAATGTTAATTGCAACTTGAGTAATGACATTTACCGGTCTGCTTTTCCCATTTCCGGTTCCCTTAACTGAGACCCACGCATCAAATTGTTCAGGAAATTGTACTACCCCCGTAATGATAATGACAACATTGGTAATGTTAATTGCAACTTCCGTTATGACATTTACCACTCTGCTTTTCCCATTTCCGATTCCTTTAAGTCAAACTCACGCATCAAATTGTTCAGGAAATTGTACTACCCCCGTAATGATAATGACAACATTGGAAATGTTAATTGCAACTTCCGTTATGACATTTACCACTCTGCTTTTCCCATTTCCGATTCCTTTAAGTCAAACTCACGCATCAAATTGTTCAGGAAATTGTACTACCCCCGTAATGATAATGACAACATTGGAAATGTTAATTGCAACTTCCGTTATGACATTTACCACTCTGCTTTTCCCATTTCCGGTTCCTTTAAGTCAAACTCACGCATCAAATTCTTCAGGAAATTGTACTACCCCCGTAATGATAATGACAACATTGGAAATGTTAATTGCAACTTCCGTTTTGACATTTACCACTCTGCTTTTCCCATTTCCGGTTCCTTTAAGTCAAACTCACGCATCAAATTCTTCAGGAAATTGTACTACCCCCGTAATGATAATGACAACATTGGAAATGTTAATTGCAACTTCAGTTATGACATTTACCGGTCTGCTTTTCCCATTTCCGGTTCCTTTAAGTCAAACCCACGCATCAAATTGTTCAGGAAATTTTACTACCCCCGTAATGATACTGACAACATGGGTAATTTTAATTGCAACTTTAGTGATGATATTTACCACTCTGCTTTTTCCACTTCCACTTCCTTTATTTCAAAGTCAAGTAACATATTTTCAGGGAGTTTCACTAGCCTGGAAATGATAATAACAACATTGGTAATGTGAATAACAACATCGTTGATGACATTAACCACTCCAGTCATACCCATTGGCAACTTCCACCATCTCCCTTGAGGGCATTAAACAAAAGGTCATCTGTGTTGCCAAAATAGCATAGAAGTACACCAAAAGAGCATCATAGGATGTCTGCATTAACATTTAGACTTTACTACATGTGTAATTGAATTTACCACTGAAGTGACAATATTTACCAAAAACCAGTAGGCCCATCACAGAAGGTACATAACTTATATTCAAATGACAAGTTAACAGTAAGATTAACCCACTACCTAATGTTTCGTCCCCATTCACATTACAAAACATATCCTACCCAGTGAATATCATTTACAAAAAGGATAGCCTACCCATCATACGATTTTTACATTAACATTCAGACTTTACTATATCTGTAATGGAATTGACCACTGACGTAATGATATTTACTAAAAACCAGTAGGCCCATGACAGAAGCTACATAACTGATATCCAAATGACAAGTTAACATTAGGATTAACCTACCGCCTAATGTTTTCTTGTCATTCAGATTACAGAACATCTCCTACCCAGTTAACATCATTAACAAAAAAGATAGCCTACCTATCAACCCTTCTCCCAAAAAAATTAAAAAGGGTTCAAGAGTCATTCCTTTCCTATAACAAAAAAATTACCCCTGTTGGTATTGACATGAAACCTTAAGTTGGGTTTGGATTCTTGCATGTTCTTCTTGTGTGGCCAACTTGCTGGCATGCACTACAATGGTAGACCTTCTTGTTTTGAAACTGCGACTCTTGCCTATTTATCCTAGGCCTTCCAGGTGGTCGACTAGTCAAAGGTGGTGCCAAAAACACTTGACTTGCTATATCTTGCAGCCGATAGTTATTAGGATTTGGCATGTCGATTGTCACCACTGGAGTCATCGTCCTACCATAAATCTTTTGTTGGGACGTAATCTTGTAGCATTCTTCAACAAAATCATACACATTGCAATTCAAGGCCTTGATAGCTGCACATGCATGTGGGCATGGGATGCCTGACATTTGCCAAGCTGCACAACTACATTCACCTTTTCCAAGATCAACATTAATGGCTCCTCTTGCTGTATGGACACACACCCTACCCCTTCCGTAAGGAACACTTAACATCTGTGCAGATCTCGCCACATTTTCCATCAATGTTGCATTTGTATTTGGGCCTACACCATTCTTCCATTTGCTCATTGCCATGCTTGCTGCATACATCTTCTTGGCTACTTTTTCACGATGCTCATGTATAAGTTGGGCAACATTATATCTTCTCTCCTTCAGCATCCACGCATTGAATGACTCTGCAAGGTTTGTTGTTATGTTGTCCCATCGTTTAAAAGGGAACTTGCTTAAGGCCCACTTGTGAATATCACCATGATTGACAAGCCATTCAAATAATTGGGAATTGAAGTGTCTCATGTTATCCATTGCTTGATCAAACTCTGTGTCAAGCCTTGCATATGCAATGGCATCTAGGAAATGCAGTCCATCCTCCCTTGTGTTGCCACTTGTCTTCCTTCTTCCTCTATTTAACTTGATCATTTGTGTACTGAAATTCTCCTTAACATGTCTGTAACAGTACGCATGTCGCTCACCTCCGAATATTGCTTGCACAGCACCTATAATTGCATTGTGTCGGTCTGAAATGATTGTTAATTGCATTGACCCAATTATCTCCTTGATCATATGTAAGAACCATGTCCAATCCTCAAGCGTCTCTCCCTTCACAATCGCAATGGCAAAAGGTAATAATTCGTTGTCCGCATCATAAGCCGACGCTGAAAGTAGTGTCCCCTTATACGGTCCACTTAAATGACTTCCATCAATATACAGTACATGTCTAGCACCAGCAATAAAACCCTCTATACAACACCCATAGGCTATGAATACACGCTCAAATCTGTTGTTCCTTGCAGCCACCCATTTTGCCACTGTTTTGTCATCGGTTTCCTTCAACCGGTCACATATCCATGGAATAAGCATGTAAGAATGATCAGGTCTGCCATGTATGTCCTCCAACGCTTTTTCCTTGGCCCTGTATGC